ATATTCTTACTACTTTGGTATTCGCTTTAAGTTCCAACAAGCTGCCATTTCAGATAGTCTAGAAAGGTAGATCAAAACCATATACCTCTGGTTTACATGTTTGCCAGCATGTGCCCTTTTCTTCCGAAACCCAGAAATTCCGACAGCCTGGTTGGTTCATCCAGTTCCTCCTCAAAGATCAGTACATTTGCCTAGTTTCACAAGTTCTAGCTCTGTTTCATAAGTCTAGTCTTTACAATAACACTGTCAAAGGTTCAAGTTACCTCTCTACTTGGGTCTTTCAAGTAGGCTTCCATCTTCCTACCTGGTTCTCTTGATTTACATGGCCTAAGGACTTATCTTGGATTCATATTGCCCAGTACCAGTTTGTGTTCCCTCGTACAATGTTGTATAAGTGCCTTAAACCTTCTAGTCAGGCTGGTATGATACAGGTTACAGGTATCCTATCCCAACCAATCATGGAAGACAGTTAGCTATAACACAGAAAGAATTACAAATTTTTACCATCACAGGGATTTGAACTCTAAACCTGCTACTTGGGGGTTGACAACCTATTCACTTCACTAGGTCACCATACCCCTAGTTATATATTTAATAAAAGTAAGTAATTCTATTTTGTAATATAATCTGTAATAAAATATTTGTAATTTAAGAAAAACTAAATATATTCTGCTATTTGCTTACAAAGTATATAAGTTTTTTTGCTAATAAATAATTTTCTATTAATTGTTTTGAGTAAAGTAATTCTAATAAGATAATAAGTACTTTTTTATAAGTTTCTTTAATTATTATTATTGTAATTATAAAACTAATAATTGCTATGCTTATTATAATTAGGTTTATAACTAAAGCAAGAAGGAGTTGTTCTATTATTAAAACTAGTATTGTCTTTTTTAGAAGTAATATAACTCTTGTTTCTAAAAGTCTTATTAATAAATTTATTTTTAGTATTCTTCTTTTTAATAAGTAATTTAAGGTTTTAACCAAACATTTTATTATTTTTAGCAGATAGGTTATAAGCTAAAGATAATATTTTAAAAGTTTGATTCTTTTTAGTTTGGTTAATAAATAATAAAAAATTAAGTAATAATGTTCTAGTATTTTTGAGTTAATTCTTAATAAGTAATCGAGCTTAATGTATATCATAATCTGATTATAAAGTTTAGAAATATAAAATAACTTAAATATATTCTTCAATAGTTATAAGATTACAGATATTCTATAAAAAACCTTAAATAAGTTCTTATTTGTCTTCTTTGTATGATTAGATAATAGTTTTCAGATATGTTTATTTATAGTTAAAGAGTTGTACTTAATATTTATATTTATTAATTTATTTCTAAGAATATTTGCATATTGTGTTTTGGTAAATACATTATTTTTGTAGATCTTTTTTGTAAAAAGAATAGTTTTACTAACAGGTATTTATATAGACTAAGTGTTATAATCATTAAGACTAAGTTCAAATTTTGCTTACTGGGTTCTAAGTCATCTGCAAGATCTTCTTTTGTATATAATATATTTGCATTATTTATAATGCCATTCTTCTAACTGTTCTGATTGGTTTAAATATTAAACTGCTCTTGTATGATTTAAGTAGTTTGATTATAAAAAAAAGTTTTTATTATCATTATTGATATTAAGATCATTATTCATAGTATAAATAATAATTATTATTTTTTTTCCTTTATCAGTCTTGCTATTAACCTTTATTAAGATTTGTATTTACAAATTTGTACATACTTTGACCTAATTTACTAGTTTAACATCCTTCAGCTGCTTTCATGAGTGTTCAAAGATAGTCTGCTATATCAGTTAGAGTAATATCCAAATTTGGGAACTGTATTAGACTAGTCTAAAAGACTATGTAAAAATGATCATATGAATAATTATTAAGTATAAATAATAATCAAAATAAAATAACTTAAAGAGAAAGTAGTTAGTTTTAATTAGATATATATATAAATTTTTTTTAATATATATAATTTGTACTATATAAGTTAGTCAATAATAAAACAAGCCAAATACATATGATATTGTCTATTAAAGCATGCAAAATTTATTTAAAAGCTTGTTGCAAAACATATAACTACTACAAAAGCTGTTCATTTTGTTTTGAATATTACAATTAATAAATTTTTTAATAATTTTACAATTAGATTATTATTAAAATCTTGTATATACTATGTAATATATATTTAATAAAAATAAAATAAAATTTATTTATATTCTGAACTTTTGATACTTTAATAATGTAGTTTGAGATATAATTAATTATTTTTTGATTTAAGACAATGGCCAAGAATTTACTCTTGATGAATTATAAATAATATAAATAGTTAGATATATTGAATTAAGCTGTTTGTTTATATTTTAACTTTTTTCTTTTTAAAACTATTAAAATTACAATTTATATTGTTAGAAGTTTTGGTTTGATTAATAAAATATAATTTTGAGTTTTATAAATTCTTTATCTATTATAATATTCTTTTTACTATCTATCTATTTTATTTAATTTTTTCTCATTTGCTTTCTGCTTTAAACAATGATTTATTTATATAAAAGATTAGTTAATTACAAATTATTGTTTGATTTCTTCTGTTTCTATTTATTAAATCTTTTAGATTTTGATTATTTCTATATCCAAATCTTTATATTTGACAAGGTTTACAGATTTTTCATTCTCTAAAATTTCTAGTTTCTTAGTAGATCTTTTAATTCCGCCTATGATAAATAGAAATTATGTAATTTTTTATGCAATTTTGTGTAAATTGAAATTGATGGATTTTGCCAAATTCAGCGATTTGGCCAAAATTGTATAAAGTTGGTCGTAGTGTTCCTAGGGTGTTACATAAATTACAATTTTACATTACAGAAAATTAAATTTCATGTTAATTTTCATTATGTCATACATAAAGTACCAGATTTACAAAAGTTCTGCCAGCATTATTACATCATTTGATTTGAATGTACGATCTGAATTGTAACTGACCAATATCATGTGTTTAAACTTACAATTACATAAAATTTCAATTTACCAAATCTTAAAGTTACGTAAAATTATTGAAATTTAAACATCCCTAATTGTTTCTCAAACGGGATATTTAACATTTCAATTTGGTAATGATAGAATGAGACTCGATTATTATCCAATTACTTTACGACGGAATGTTAAAAATACCCCGCGGTTCCAATTCGGGTACCTGTTTGCGGAATACTAGTTGATTGGCATTACAATATGAAAATTCTGGGCAAAAAAATTAAAAATTAGTATTAGCTAGGATTACAATGATTGCAAATGAGTGACGAAAAGGGAAAACCTGTAAATCATCTCACTCAATGAGTGAAATGATTTACGGGTTTTCCCTTTTCGTCACTCAAATCCTAAATTCAGGCCGAAATTTTTAAAAATAATTGCCGTTTTATAAGCCCATTCCATGAATGCAGAAAATCATCATCCCTGGTGATATCATCCGGATCACCCGAGGGCCCGATTAATGCAGGTCGCCCGAGTGACTCTGATACGAAAGTCCTTATGTCAAGGAAATTCCGAGCTGCCGGCCAAAAAAATATGGGTTGTAGTATCTCAAAAATTCACTATA